TCAGTGGTTGTTGGTGGAGGCTTTGTTGAAGATGAATTGGATGAAAAATTGAGGTTTTGCTTTTGGAGTGTCTATCCTAGTCCATTGCTCTATATGCCTGTTCTTACACCAATACTAGGCAGTTTTGATTATTGTATCCTTATAATAAAGTTAAAGTCTAGGAGTGTGATACCTCCCACTTTGTTTCTTTTGGCTATTCGTGGTCATTTTTGTTTCCATATGAATTTATGTATTGTTGTTTCCAGGTCTAAGAAGAGTGATGATGGTAATTTAATGGGTATTCCACTGAATCTGTAGATTGTCTTGGGTAGGATGGCCATTTTAACAATGTTTATTATTCCACTCTATGAGCTTGGAATATTTTTCCATTTGTTTGTGCCATCTTTGATTTCTTTGAGCACTGTTTTGTAGTTCTCATTGTAAAGGTCTTTCCCTTCTCTGGTTAGCAAGATGCAAGGTATTTCCTTTTGTAGCTATTGTGAATAGGGTGTACTTTTTATTTGGTTCTCTGCCTGTTTGTTGTTGGTGTATAAAAATGAGACTGTCTTTTGCCTGCAAATTCTGTACCCTGAGATTTTTGCCAAATCCTTTATCTCAATGTAAGGAGCTTTTTGACAAATTCTCTTGGGTTTTCCAGGTATAGGATCATATCGTCTGCAAAGAGGGATAGCTTAACTTCCTCTTTTCCTATTTGGATACTCCTGATTTCCTTCTCTTGTCTGATTGCTCTAGCTAGGACTTCCAACACTATGTTGAACAGGAGGAGTGAGAGTGAGCAGCTTTGTCTTGTTTCAGTTTTTAGGGGAAATGCTTCCAATTTCTTTCCATTTAGTAATATTTTGACTGTGGGCTTATTGTAGATGGCTCTTACTATTTTGAGGTATGTTCTCTCTATATCTAGGTGTTCAGAGTGTTGTTTTGTTTTTTTTTTAATCAAGAATGGATGCTGGATTTTGTCATCTTTTGTCTTTTAATTGAAAAGTTTAGTCCATTTACATTTAATGTGATTATTGATAGAGTATAGTTTAAGTATGTCATGTGGGTATTTATGCCCTTTTAATTTCATCTGTCCTTTGTTCCTCTTTACCTCTTTTCCTGCCATTTTTTTTGGTTTGTTTTTTATTTTGTTTTATTTTTGTAAAGACAGTCTTGCTGTGTTGCCTAGGTTGGCCTCTAACTCCTCAGATAATCTTTCTGCCTCTGCCTCCCAAAGTATTGGAATTATAAATGTGAGCACCTGGCCTTTTTTTTTTTCTTGAGAAAAATCTTACTCTATTGCCCAGGCTGGAGTGCAGTGGCACTATCATAGCTCACTGTAGCCTCGAACTCCTGGGCTTAAGCGATCCTCCTGCCTCAGTCTCCGAAGTAGCTAGTACTACAGATGTTATCCACCACACCTAGATAATGTTTTGTTTGTTTGTAGGAATAGGGTCTCTCTGTGTTGTCTTGGCTGGTCTTGAACTCCTGGCCTCAAACAGTACTCCTCACCCTCCCAAAGTTTCTGGGGTTACAAGTATGAGCCACCATGCCTGGCTGTTTTCTGCCCTTTTAGGTGAATTATGTAATTTTGATATTTAATTTTACTGCCTCTATTTATTTTTATTTTTTAGCTATACCTCTTGGTAGGGAGAATGAGTGTATGTTTTAGTTTTTATTTTAAGTTATTGCTGTAGAACTGTGCTGTTGAATACATGTGGCTATTTAAACTTTAATTAATTGAAATATGAGAAAATAAAAATATTTTCCTGACTGTTGTTTGAAAATGGATTGAAATAATTCAAGACTAGGAGCAGAAAGATAAGTTAGGGCATTGTTTTAGAAACACTGGCAGGTTTTGTGAGATATTAGTAACAGAGTTTAAGAGAAATGATAGAATTGAGAGATACTAGGGAGGTAGAATCAACAAGAGTGGCTAATAAATGTAATATCAGACAGAGAAGGGAGAGGGCGAAGGCCAAGTGACTCTTATGATTTCTGGTGTGGGCAAATAAATGAATGATACTATTATTGAGACAGGAAGGGGAGGCAAATTTGGGGGAAGATGAAGAGTTTAGTTTTAGAGATCTTGAGAGTCAGATGTTTGTAGGTATTTCAAGGTAGAGATCAGTAGCAGGCAGATGATTACGTGGTCCAAATTTGGAGAGCTATCTGGAACAGAAAATTTTCAGATTTTTAATTTAAGTATTGATGACGTAAAAGGTAATAAAATCACCATGGTAGTATTATAAAGTAAGGACACGAAATTCTGAGCATCACACATGTAAGAGAAGTGAAGACTCCAGAGAGATCTGGATAGATGGAAGGAAAACTAGGAGAGAGGATGTCATTGAATACAAGGGAATAGAGCGTTATGAATGAATTGCTAAGTAGCAACTAGAAATTTTCTAGGCAGTTGTTATATGGATAATATTTGACAAATTTGACTTATATCCACTTTTCTAAGGCACAGCAAAGTGTTTTGAAAATTAGTCATTACTTTTATGTTTTGAAACATAGATTCATCTGTTGCTTTTATCTTTTCTTTTCTTTTTTCTTTTTTTTTTTGAGTCAAAGTTTCACTCTGCTGCCCAGGTTGGAGTGCAATGGCATGCTCACGGCCTCCCCAGCATCAGCCTGCTGGGCTACAGCAATCCTTCCGCCTCAGCCTTCCAAGTAGCCAGAACTATAGGCTTGCGCTACCACACCCAGCTAATTTTTTTTTTTATTATAGAGATGAGGGCTCACCAAGTTGCCATGGCTGGTCTCGAACCCCTGGGTTCAGGCAGTTCTCTCACCTTGGCCTCCCGAAGAACTGGGATTAGTTTTAGAGATAAACTAATCCCAGTTCTGGGCCACTGTGCCCAGCTGCTTTTATCTTTTCATATTTATTTTATTCTGCTCACTAGGTCTTTCCTAGTGGTAGGAGACCTAAGGATAAATAAAAGTTATGCCCTATTCTTTCTGTAAAAGAAAGATGTGTAAACAAATAATTAGAATACAACTTCAAGGGTCTATAAAAAGAGATTTATAGGAAGTACTTGCAGAGGCTCAAAGCAGAAACACACAACTCTTCTGTGCATTTTAAATACTATTCTTTTTGCATGGGTTGTCCTTTTCCCACTTTTTCAACCACATGGCCTTTGAAACTCAGCTCAAATATCATTATGGAAACTAAATTTGACCTCCTTGTTTGCTTTACTTAATGCTTTAAGAAAAATGGTGACTCAGACAACTCATCTCCAAAGCAGTCACTTAAAAAAAAAGGGAGTAAGGAAAGGGAAGGAGAGAGGAAAGAGAACCAAAATTGAAAAAACAAAGCCATGCTCCGTGGCTCACCCTGTAATCCCAGCACTTTGGGAGGCTGAGGAGAGTGGCCTGACTGAGCCTGTGGGTTCGAGACAGCCTGGGCAAATTGGCGAGACCTTGTCTCTACAATAAATCAAAAATTAGCTGAGCATGGTAGTGCACGCCTGTAGTTCCGGCTACTTGGAAGGTTGAGGTGGAAGGATCTCCGGATTGCCAGAGCCCAGAAGGTCTTCACTGGGGTGGCCATGAGTCTGCCAGTGCACTCCAGCCTGGGCGATGGAGTGAGACTCCAACTCAAAACAAACAAACAAACAAACAACATCAACAACAGCAAAACCCAATACCGATATATGTCACTTAACAACAGGAATGTGTTCTGAGAAATATCATTAGGTGATTTGGTCATGCGGACATCATAGAGGGTACTTGCACGAACCTGGATGGTAGAGCCTACTACACACCTAGGCCATATGATCTAGCCTATTGCCCTTAAGCTGCAAACCTGTGCAGCATGTTTCTGTACTGAACACTGGAGACATTTGTCATACCATGGTAAGTTTTTATGTATCTAAACACATTTAAACATATAAAAGGTACAGTAAAAATGCAGTATTTTAACCTTATGGGACCACCATTGTTTATGCAGTCTCTTGTTGACTGAAATGTTATGTGGAGCATGACTGTGCATGCTCATTATAATTCAAACAATAATATAAATTCAAATAATATAGAAAAATACAAGGAAGAAGACAGTAATACAGGATCCCACCAACTACAAAAAATCGCTATTGTTAATATTAAGTTAACATCATCCACATATATCCCTATCGGTTTATAAATAGATGCACAGAAATAATTTTATGTAATCAAGATTATACTATATGTATTATTTTAAATGCTGTAAAGTACTTAATTTCACTTTTCAGAGATTAGTCTAAAAAACGATGTACTTCAGTTCACCTAAAGGATTCTTTATGAGAGATAGTAATTACCAAAAGATCCACTCAAGTTAACAAAATGATTACTTAAAACATTGAAGTTTTGGTGGATTTTAAAAGACCATGCTTTTCTATATTTTTAACTTTTCAGCAGTGGTGCTTTCAACTTCTTTTCACCTTTCCTTCCCTCTTGCGACTGCTTCTTAATTTTTCAGTTGGAATTACATTGTTACTGTTTGTATTGGTTAGATACCTTTCTGTTATCTAATCTACGTATTTGTTTATTCTCAATTCGGTACTTTAATGTTCTCATCGACATCTCTTCTGTGTGATGGTCTCTGGCTTCTCCATTAGAGCTATTTTTAATTCATCTTTGGTTGGCTAGATTTCATGTTCAAGTAGTTTTCTCAGAAGGGCGCAGACAGGCCCTGAAGACTCCTGTACTTCATTCTTCTTTCTCACTTTTATACTTTAATGACAACTTGGTTGGGCAAAAATTTCATGGGTCATGCTTTCTTTCCCCTGCACTTGTTGGCATTTTTCTTCTGTCTCCTGGAATTGTGTTAAACCAGTAATTTTTTTTTTCCTTTGGTACTACTGTTTTCCTCCTTTTCAAATCACAGTGGCTGTTTTAAAAGAATAACCATGAGTTCTGTACTTTTTCACTCCCTACACTCAAGAGATTATTACTAGAAAGAACTATCACAGCTATGACACTGTGATGTGACCCAGGGTGTTTTAGGATTATTAATTATGCATCTTTGCTTCCCTTTCTAGAGATAATTGACGACCTAGCCAACCTAGTGGAGAACACAGATGAAAAACTTCGCACTGAAACCAGGCGTGTGAACATGGTGGACAGAAAGTCAACTTCTTGTGGTAAGAGGCAGCTGTCATTAAGGCCTTGCTTCTTTCATAGCTTGCAGATTTATTCTGCTTTGAGTTTGCTGTGTTTGTCCAATTACTATGGGGATTTAGTTGTTCTAATAACAGGCAGTGCCATTTGATGAAGCATTGAAATTGCTAAAAGATGCTTAAATCTTGTTAAAATGAATGTGTGGACTTCAGAGGGTATATCAATCTTTGTTAATTTATTTTATTTTATTTTAAGTAAACTTTTCTGTATGTTTACAGAGATTAATGGTTTGGGAAATTATATAACATTATGCAGGTTGGTGGGTTTTAAAGGAAATCTTGTTTGCTTTTGTGCCTTTTTTTGTAACCACAAGCTTATTGTTGACCCCTGAGCTGCAGAGCAGTTAAGAGCTCAGTTGTGAAATCTGACTGAGTTCTAATCCTATATTTGGTGATGTAATCTTTGTCAAATCACTTTACCTCTCAATACTTTATATGTAAAATGAGGATTCATGCCAAGAAAACAATTACTTGGAGTGTTTGCTTAAAATACTGATTCCCAGGCCTTCCTCTGGAGATTCTGATTGAATAGGTATAGGGTTGAGTTCAAGAATGCTCCTTATTTAACAAATAACCCAAGCAGTTCTGATGCAGGTACTTGTTATTCTGCAGAAATTCTGGTATAGATTTTTGTAAGGTTTAAATTGTATATTGCCTGTATACTGTTCCTTGCCCAAAGGTAAATGATGATAAATGGTGGTGACAGCAGTAGTAGTCACAGTGATTATTATTTGGGGCTTCATCTCACAAATGTGCACAGTTTATAAAGCCAATATCTTATTGAAAATAGAACTATGGCCAGGCATCGTGACTTAGGCCTGTAATCCCAGCTCTTTGGGAGGCTGAGATGAGGGGATTGCCTGAACCCACGAGTTCAAGAACAGCCTGGGCAACTTGGCGAGACCTCATCTCTACAATAAATCAAACAATTAGCCGGGCATGGTAGCACACGCCTGTTGTTCTATCTACTTGGAAGGCTGAGGTGGAAGGATCATTGAAGCCCAGTGGGTCAACACTGGGGTGGCCATGAGCATGCCACTGCACTCCAGCCTGGGTGACAGAGTGAGACTCCAACTCAAAAAAAAGAAAAGAAAATGAAACTATAATAGCAATAAAAAATAAGTGATCCAAGCACATGTTTTGTCTAACTTTTTAGTCTTTTAAATAAGAATGATGTAATGGATCCCCCAATCTATCCAGTCTTAGAACCTCTGTGCAAGGTCCCCCTGAGATATGCAGCTTGAGAGGCATCACCTTCCTTGCCTGTGTTTGCTGATTAAAAGAGAAATCTAGAACAAGAGGATCAGGCCGATACAAACTCAGGAAGCTCAGGAAGTGAAAGCCTGCAGGGGCTACCTTTGACTCTCTGTCACTCACACCCTGTCCTTGCCAGCCTCAGCAGTGCCTACCCATTAGTTGCCAGCCCACTCTGTGCTTCTTCTCCTTGGTTTTGCTTTATCAGTCCTCTCACATAACTTTTGTCCACAGGGACTGTTTTCTGTGCTAGATCCTGAAGATGAGAGAGAGGAATTCACTTCCACCTCTGTCTCTTATTACCTGAGCCTTAGTTTCCTTGCAGTAGAAAAGTAGATAACCTGGTTGTGATCCAGTTGTATAGAATAGGCAAAGTTTCCTGTGCTGGCCATCTTCCCCAGCTTTCCATATTTTCATGTGAGAGGTGCCAGGGCATAGTGGTTACGACAGGGGCTCTGGACCCTGGACTCACACCCAAGCTTCATCGCTTACTAACTGTTTGACCTCTAGAAAGCTGCAATTCCCCCTGGCCTTAGTTTTCCTATCTTTGAAATGGGGATAGTAGTAGTATATACCTCAGAAGATTGTTATGAGAAATAAATGAGTTTATATAGAGAAGTGTTTGGTACATTGTATGCAGTGGGCAAGTACTCATACTAGCTATTGTTGTCATATGTTTAAAGTAGGAAGAGTTTTTTGTTGTTGTTGTTATTCTAAGTAATCATGTTGCTAGTAATTTGGGATGAACATATTCATAGACATGTTGATATGTTTTTGTATTTGCAAAATGGTAGCCCTCAGTACACATCACTCATTAAGTCATAATGAAGCAGAATGTTTTTTGTACTGCTGCCAATTTTTTATTGTATGCTATTACCAAGGCTTAGTATTTTTACCCAGAAATATTCATAATGTCTTCTGAGCTGGACTCTAAGATGTTTATTTATTTATTTCTTTGACAATAAAAGAAATTAGAGACCCTTCCCCCCAGAATTACTAAAATGTATGGTTTAAAAACTTGTATCTGGACTTTAAAATAAGTTAACTATAAATATATCTCTGCTCCACTAATATTTAATTATATATATTATCTGCAACAGAATTATGTGCAATGATTCAGAAGGGAGAAGAACAGCAATACAACAATGTTAAATAGATACTGGGGGAAAAAAAGACTCATTCTTTTAATGAATATACTTTAGAGAGAATTGTTTCTCTTTTTCTTTTGATTTTTTTCTAACATATTGTTTTTTCCATCTATATTGTATCAGTAGCCAAATAACTATACTTGAACATTTCTAGTGCCTGATACCTTTAAAGAAAATTGGTTTGCTTTTTTTTTTGAGTTGGCGTCTCACTCCTACTACCCAGGCTGGAGTGCAGTGACACGCTCATGGCTACCCCAGCATCGACCTTCTGGGCTCAGGTGATCCTTCTGCCTCAGCCTTCCAAGTAGCTGGAACTATAGGTGCGCATTACCACGCCTGGCTAAGTTTTTGATTTATTGTAGAGAAGAGGTCTCACCATGTAACCCAGGTCAGACTTGCTAGCAGTTTCCTTCTAGGTCTTTAACTGATCGGTGAACAAAAGACATGTTGTAGAATTTACTGAGGAGGTCTAGCAATTGACAAAATTAGCCTGACCTGTTCTTTAATTTTTTTTTTAAATTGTGGTAAAATAGGTACACATACTACTTACCATTTTAACTATTTTTTTAATGTGTAGCTCAGGGGCATTAAATACATTTTCATTATTGTGCAAACATCACCACTGTCTATCTCTAAAACTTTTTAAACATTAAACTGAAAGCTATCCTAAACAGTAACTCAACATCCCTCCCTCCCCCAGCCCCTAGTATCTGCTTTTTGACTTTGTGTCTCTATGAATGTGACTCTTCTAGGTACCTCCATTAAGTAGGATCATGCAACATTCATCCTTTTGTATCTGGCTTATTTTACTTAGTGTAATGTCTTCAAGGCTTATTCATGCTATAGCATGTATCAGCATTTCATTCCTTTTTTTTGAGTTGGAGTCTCACTCTGTCGCCCAGACTGGAGTGCAGTGGCCGCTCCCGGCCACCGCACCCTCGACCTGCTGGACTCCGGCGATCCTTCCACCTCAGCCTTCCAAGTAGCTGGAACTACAGGTGCGTGCTACCACGCCCGACTAATTTTTTGATTTATTGGAGAGATGAGGTCTCACCAAGTTGCCCAGGTGGATCTCAAACCCGCGGACTCAGGCAATCCACTCACCTCGGCCTCCCAAAGCACGGGATTACAGGCTGAGCCACCGAGCCCGGCCATTCCTTTTTAAGGCTGCATAATATTCCAATGTATACCACATTTTGTTTATCCATTTATCTGTCAGTGGACACCTGCTGTTTTCACTTTTTGACTATTGTGAATAATGCTGCCATAAACAATAATTCTGTACAAATGCCATTCAAGTCCTACTTTTTCTGTGTATATACCAAGAAATGGGATTGCTGGATAAAATGGGAATTCAATGTTTAAATTTTTTAGGAACTGCCAGAATAGCCTGACTTTCTGTTTTACATCCAGCCTCTAAACTCTTGGGTTCTTTCCATTTTCTTTTTTTTGTTGTTGTTGTTGTTTAAAAAAAATTCTTTTTTAATCTGATAAAACTAGAGACTTCTGTAGCCTGAGAAGGGCAGGTAAGTAGGATAGAAATTAAGTCCCTGGACCCACCCCAAATAGAAAGTATAACACGAGACCCTTCCCACATTAGACTAGGTTCCCAAAGGAGGTATACCCTTAGAGTAAAAGTGAATCAGAACTAAACTTGGGAATGTAGAGAAGGTTGCCTTGGCACTGAGCAGAATAGGAGAAGGAAATAAAAAACAAAAAAACAAAAAACGGTTCCTGGCATGCTATGGTCACAGAAAGGCCCTCGTGAATTTGCACCTTGGCCATATATACTCAAGGATGGGCCAGGAGACAACATACATTGAATTTGGTTTGAGGCAGACTCACCTATTATAGCTCCAGGTGTCTGGCAAAAAAAAAAAAAAGAAAAAGAAATGCCTCTTTGAAGGAAAGCATACTTATTATAGGTCTCTAGGGATCAACTAAAAGTAAATTTCTAAGGATAATGATCAGCATATAGTCAAAAAGATAACCTAGCACACTTGGAAATAGCACAACATGAGCAAGGACCAACAATAGACTGTAGAAATCAATCTGAACTGACTTGGAGTATTAGAATGATCAGAAATGGATTATATCAGTTATACTTTGTAAATTTAAAGAAATAAATGACAGACTTAAAATCATCTTGGGAAAATAGGAAACTAAAATCAGCAACATAGAAAATTTGAAAAGGACCAAATAAAACTTCTAGAAATAACAAATAACTGGAACTTAAAACTCAATGGACATATGTGGTACAGCAAAACAGAGAATCAACCACAGAACAGATCAGAAAAAAATAAACTATGTTCTCTTTCCATGAATGTTAACAATTTGAAGAGGATACCATAGAAATTAAATTGCAATCTTAATAAGAAAGGCATTTGCTAGGGAAAGGGTTGGCCCAAGAGCCTCAGGACATAGCAAAGAGTTAATCACTTGCTCTTCTCAAATGCAAGGTCTGATTGATCATTTTATATGTGGACACACACACATAATGAAACTGCAAGCAAGGTGTATTTTAACTATGTGGGGGGGATTAAGCCACTCATTCAAGCATAA